ATTCCTCCACTAAATCCTTCAACGATTTCATACTGTAACTTGTCCATGCTGGTAAAGAGTTGAGGAATTCTGATAGAATTGGGTATGTGCAAGTATTAGTTTTGGTGAATAAATGGTTATCACAGTTTAATCAAGCCAGTGAAGGTTTTGCCAGAAAACTTTAAACTGAAGTATTAAAAGACCTTTTTAATACCAAACAGTAGCAAGATGTAACCAAGTAGTTTTCTGTCACTAGACATTAGTGATTCAATTAGGTCATTGGAAAAGGTGGCTGGACTGAAAATACACTTTTTACATTATTCACTATAGTCAAGCAGTCACTTTAAGGATAAACCTTATGCTATGGAAAAAAAGCCCATGCTTGGGTTAGTGTAAAAGAGTTGTATTTTTAATGGGCATGTATGAAGAGATTAAATATTCAGTGAAAATTGTTATTTGTATAATTGAAACACAGAATCAAGTATTCATTGTGCACAGTGTCAAATAATGCCTACAAATAATACTCCTGAATGCAAGTTTTAAGTAGAAGGTATAGTTATCCTAGATGATTTCTGGATTATGCCAGCCACTTCCTAACATGCTCAAAGCAATTACCTTAAGTGTGTCTTTTTATTTGGTCCAGCTACTAGAATGAGGAAAAAATTCTCTATTTAGCAGGCAATGTGTTATTTCATAATGAAGCAAGTTCCTAATAGTGCATTAACAGTCTCATTTTTGCATCAGGTTCCAGCCCCAGCCAACAGCCAGCAGGAAGGGATATGCAGCTATATTGTGCTTTGCCCTCGTGCAAAACACACTCTGCTTAGAGCAGCAGCTTCTGAGACAGCAAAGGAACCTGTTCAAGATGCTGAATTAAATATATGATTTGTGGTTAATTCATTGTGCCCTCTCCTCCTGAACCAACAGGAGTATTCCAGAGGAAGGTGTACAGAGAAATTGTCAGTAGCAGTATCTAGAAGGTCATCATCCTCATTTATTCAATGTGTTAATACGGCTCTCAGAGTTTGTGTTCCAGAGAGAACCTCCTTTAGGACAGGCATCAGCCGTTTTTATCAAGCAGTACTCACAGGCTGCAATGTTTAATCATGGTGCAGTTGGTAAGAGAGGGAGCCTTGTTTGTTCAGGACAGTTGTATGATTTGGGAGTTTTGTTTTGTGAATATAGGAAAAACTTTTCATTTTGGTAAATCGGCATTAAAAGGTTAGCATGAATATTTCCTTCATTTCCATACCAGTTTCTCACACTTTAGAGTTACCAATACTCCAGATTCTACATGAATCTTGGCCGAAATCTTTTGAGTTTCACATTATTTCTTGTCATTAGTACTAACTTTTTGCTGTTTTGACACGAAAGTATACATCAGCTCAGGCATTCTGAATGTGTAAGAGGGACTTTTGTCTGGATTTCTAGTTGATTTAAAAGCACCACTTGTTGAAATCAAGACTCTTTTCCATAGACTGAGATTTCTTTTTCAGTAGTTCACACCAATCTATGTGATACTCATAATTTACATAAATGATTTTTAGGGTAAAATACAGAAATAGGGACTTGGAACAAAATGTTCTGTCACAAGAACATTTTGCTGTGTTCCATTATAAATAAAATGGTCTCTTACAAATGTAGTTGTTTGGAGATATGCTAAACTTATGATTGTGCAGATCAGGTTCATATATCAAAACAGATCTGTGCCTAGTAGAGATGCCAGGTGACAGAGATACCTATTTCTGCATTCTTTGATTTTCAGTAGTGCTTCTCTAAATAAGGGAATACAATAGTTTCAATATAATCTTGTACTGCAAGGGGTTTTACAACATAATGTTTAATGCATACTCTTTTAGTCAGAAAAGTTTTATCTGTATTACGATAGTGACATAACAATATCACTGCCAATAATTTAAGTAGGCAATTAGACTTCATCTTTGACTTCTTCACTTAGACTTCATCTTTGATGATATTAGTTCTTTGCAAGTCAAACACCTAGCTGCTTTATTTTTTATGTGGTATTAGCCTTGTCTAATACCATTTAAAACATGTTTATAGGCTGAAATGATTTATGTGTGATAAATGCATGACATATTTTCTAGATTCGTGCTTATTTTTATTTTGTTATTTAAAGTATCTGTAGGTTGCATAAATAGATTCAGGTGGTTTATAAAATAGTGCCATAAACAAGATAGGCAGCCACAATTAGACACTATTAGAATAGTCCTTTTTTCACTGTTTCTTTTGATCTTGCAAATAAGAATAATAATGTGCTGGCTTTTCATGTCATAATCCTCTAAGGAAGATAGTGACTAAGGAGAATTAATCCCTCCTTACTTTGGGCATTTAAAACTTAGGCACCACACTGAATGAGATCACAAAGGAGTACCCTGTTATCAGGGAAGAGAAATGGCTACTGCCAGAGAAGAATTTGCTGAGTTTTGAAAGACTCTGCAGAACCAGACCGCCATCTTTGAGGGGGTTATGCTGTTAAAGTCATGCTACAGCCATGAAAAGGTGGATTTTATAGAGAGCAGTGTTTCCTTTGCATCTACTAAAGCAAGCCTTACATGTACATATGTGAATCTATGTATAGCTTCATATATTTACAAGGATAATAGTTAGGTCTTGTTCCTATGATCATTTGTTGCTGTGAAATGCTTGTCCATTATTTAGATCACCTTTTAATTTAGACCTTGACTAAGAACAGTTGAAATGGCTGTAATGTGAAAGTCAAGTAGAAATAGATATTGCAGCTATAGGAGTACAGATAAGGCACTTTCCCTATTACCAAAAATTGCTTTATAAGGTTCTGTTACATTTGCAAAATTTCTTCCTTGAATAAGGACTAAAGTAGTCATGCTCTGTAGGAATTCTTCCTAATACTCTGCTTAGTTTATACTTTTCTGTAAAGAACTTATCATTCAGCTCTATAGTACTTTTTTTTCCATAGAAGAGGAATATTATTTCTATCCCATTCATCTTTACATTCCATTTGCTGCTTTGCTAGGATTAACAAAGCGTTCCAAGTATTTTAACAAGAAAGGAATACATTCAGAAAAATTCTCATTAAAGTCTTTATCTTCAAGATACAAAAGACTGCACTTTTTAACGACTCAAAACTGCATAGTGAAGCAGCACATACTTACAGAATTATTCCAATAGTACTTCTGTTGCATTGATTTGGGAAGATCCCTTTCTTTGCTACCACATACTTGTGTCTTGGAGCTTTATAACTGCAGTAATAAATACTGCATTCTAATTCCAGAACATAACATGTAGCTATCAATGCCTGACTAACTAACACATATCTCTTTAATTTAAACAATCCTAGTGTGGAAAAGTTCAGTTTTAAACCTAGAGGATCAAATTGTATTTGGGTTTGTACAAAGGGAATATGGCTACAAGCACAACTAAATAGCACCTTTTCAATAAAGGTTTAGTACTTTGAAAGATTTATGTCTCAATTTCATGGAATTTGGGAAGATTTTTAATTCATACTGTATATATATATTTTTTTTTTAATTCAGAAGGGAACTCTATGTAATTACTATCAGTACTGGAATACATTATGTAAAGAGCAAAGTAGGTGCATTGTCTATTCAAGCAGAGGTAAACACTCATTAAGATGAATTCCTGGTGCAGTACTGCCGGTGCATTACCTCTGAGCCATTACATCAGAATAGTTTCTCCACCTCTAGTACTTGGCAACAGAAATCCAAATAAACGGAATTCCCTACAAAACATGCTGAAATGAGGTGTTTCAGACTCATGGCATGTTTCCAAGGTGGGTCCTCTCAGAGAAATACTGCTGGCATGTTGTTTGAAATGAAGGGCTCCATGAAATGCCTTTGTCAGTTACTTCTGTGGTAATGTGTGAATAGAAGAAGACAGAGGTGATTTCTCAAAGGTGGTATCTACAGGGATATGTCACACACATTCAAATCCTAATGTTGAGCTAGTCTCAATTCTGAAGCAAAGTGCTTATTAACTTAATTGTGCAGTCAGGCCTATGATACTGCAGTTTCTAATACATTTCAAGCTACTGCTGTATTGACAAAATAAAAATGCAGCTGACTGCTCTGGGAGATGCACACACTCACTGCAAATTAAATGAACTGTTAGAACAACACAAATATTCTTCATGCTTGAAGAACACTGGATATTCTCAGAGAACACAGAAATGAAAAAATGCAGTTCTTAATTGTTGTTAGTCTCCACACACTTTAATTCTCCACGAATTTGTGATGATTTATGAATGCACACCACTGTTTGGTTCTATACACAAGTTGCCAGAGCTTTACTTCCCAAAAATTCAGTTCTCAAAAAGTCTTGTAAGGTACTGGGCTGGCAGGTATGTGAAAAGTGGCAAGACTTTAAACTCAGAATTTGGAATAAATGCTCCATCCATGGCTGTGTTCAAGGCCAGGCTGGATAGAGCCTTGGGAGACATGGTCTAGCGTGAGGCATCCCTGTCTGTGGCAGGAGGTTGGAACTAGATGATGTAAGGCCCTTTCCAACCCAAATCATTCTGTGATTCTGTGAAATGTTTGTCCATTGTAGAGAAAATATTTTTAATGATAATTTGTGCATGCACATGTATGGGTAGTTAGGAAACTTCTGAACACTAACAGTTAATACAATGCCCTATACTACAAAATTTTATGAACTCTATTGTACAGTTGGGCTTGATGATCTTGGAGGTCTTTCTCAACCTCGATTCTGTGGTTCTAAGGTTCTCTGTGATATAACTTGGCATTATGCAAATCCCTGCTGGTATTTTGCTATTGTTGTATGTCTTTGCTGTTAGTGTGAAAGAAAACAAAAGGAAGAACTGACTATAGAATTATGCATTTGACTGTATAAAGAAATAAAATAACTTGTGAAAGCAAATTTTTACATGTATTTATACATTTAGAGAGAAAATAGTTCTGTTTTTCTTCACTCATGTATACAATTTCATAATTTAAAGGGATGCATACATAATAACAGTTACATAATTTCCATTTTGGCATCAGGTTTCTTGTCCAAGTGTGTTTTCCTGAAAACATAAGAGTCATTTCAACCACTCAGTGATTCTTCTCTCCCTCCTCAAGTTTCTGTGGTCACCTTCACCAGTGGAAATCACAAACTCATTACTACTACTTGCACTGGCAGGTATTATAACAATACTATATCCAATGACAAAATCAAAGTGAGACATTAGCGTGTTGCAGTAAAATCATTACATACATAACTGTTCAGAATTATAATGATTTTTGAAGGGAGGCAAATGTAAGACTGCTTTATTTTTTTTTATTAAGTCCTATTTCTGAATATTTTTCCATTCATTCTATGTTAATAGTGAATTTAAATTCCTGTGTAAAAAGCCTGGATGCAACTGCACAGTTTAGGTTTGATAAGGCCAGTGAACATGCCTTAAATATTTTAAAAGACTGAACTTTATTCTAAAATAAACCATGACAACTACATACCACGCCAGCATTGAGAAAGGGGTATGTAAGTTCTTAAGTAAGAAATAGATTTTAATAAATATTCACTACTTATTTATATATTTATTTCCCCAGAAAAGGTCATCTTACTTTCAAATAAATCCTGCATTCAAACATTAGATATCTGGCTAAATCCAAATATCTCTTAGTTAAAAACGGTCAAATATTTTCTAGCTACATTTTCAGTACATCTCCTGTATCAAGAGAGATCTACTTTCAGTGTGCTCCTATTATGGCCATAACCCATACCTGTATTTACATGTACATGTCAGTGTCTGGTTTAAGTTACCTAAGTTTTTTATATTCTAGGGTTGAGAATCAGAAGAAACCAGGATAAGCAATTAAATTAGTGAAATTGATAAATAACTAACTGAAAATTATTCATTTATTAAATTATTGAACTTATTTACTTAATTAATTGAAAATATCTAGCATGCCAATAGCAATACTTCTGTGGTATTAACCTGAGAGTAGCTCAGTTTAGAAAATAATAATCCCTAGTTTACTAATATTAGTATGGTGAATAAATATGCTACCAGAAAAACTGTTTATGTTTTCAAGGAAGCCAAGCATCTGCAAACAAACAGTTTTGGTCTTGCAGCAGAATGTTACTCAGTGTCTGAGAATACAGAGGAAGAAAGCCTTTGCTCTTTATCCTTCATGACAGACAGGAACATGTTTCCTTTCACAAAATATCCATATATGTGTGACACTCTCCCTCATAAGCATTCTGTTGCTAGAAGAGTAAAATTTCTTTATTCTTTTCAATAAACATCCTGTACACACATCTTCTCTCTGTGTGCACCAAATAAAGAAGAAAGGAAGTCCTGAACAACTGTCTATGTATTCAGTTGTGAGCTCCCAGAGGGAAAATAAGGCAAAGGACGCAATTCTCATAAAAATGGGCAAAGGTACCTACATTCCACAGTGCCAAGCAACCATCAAATCCAGAAGAAATTCCTAGTCCTCATCCTTGCCCTACTTCAGGCATCTGGGAATCATTGAGTCTTGCAAATAACTGAAAATATTATAGCCCTCTGGTTACTGATCACCCCTTGCTGAAGTTTACATTTCATCTACCCGTCCTAACTTTCCTGTCCCTTTTACCCCATATTGTGAGACAGGATATTAAAATAAGTTCTTCATATTTCTGTGACAGAGTGTAACACATTTTCCAGGCAAGATGTGTCACAATTTTCTCCACAGTGTACTACTGTTATTTCTCTAGAGCCATAAAAATTGGCATACCACAAATGTCAGTGGTGCTTAAAAGCCTGTCTTAGTGGGGAAAGGTACTATAAAAACAGTATGGATACTTTGGTAAGAAAAAAAAAAAGAAAACTTCTAAAATAGTTCAATTTAATATTCAATAAAATAAATGATACAAAAAAGTATTTAAGTGTAGGATAGAAGTCTCTTCCTACAGCCTAGATAGAAGACTTTTATCCTTATGTTTTTATCATCTGTGATTAATATACCCATTTTTTGCCAGTAAACCCTGATATTACATCACTGTGCATTATCTCTGTTTCTCAGTGTTTACATTATGCCGCATAGCATTTCAAAAGGTAACTAAAAGTGACATCTGGGATACATACAGCAGGAGTTTTATTATTTACTTTGGCAGATCTTCATTCAAATACAGACTTGGTGACAATATCACAAGTCAAACAGAATCATTTCGTCCTAAGGCATATAGGCCTACCTCAGAAAAATAATCAGGCAAGACTTTAAGGAGTGCTACATAAAGGTGTATAGCAAAACCCATCATAGCTCCTGCTTTGTACCATACCTAAATACACAGTATTTAATTAATGCTTCTTTTAAATCTAACAGTCCAAATTCTGCCTATTGTGCCATCACTTTAGCATAGTTGTTGAATGTAGACTCCTGTATTTGTACCACCTGAAAACACAGAAGCACAGCACAGGGCTATAACGTGTGCAAAAGAGGCAAGATACATTAATTTACCACAAACAGCATGAAAAGCTGTCCACAGCAGTGAAAGCTCCAGTTACAAAGAATAGAAAACCTTTTCCAGCAGAAAAGTTTGGGCACTGACCGATTTTTTTTCATTTTTCAGCAGCACATCAACACCTTTCATCATATTTCTATCTTGTTCCAACGAACTAATAAACTCCTGATACAAGTCTTGATACTGCTTATCAACTTGTCATGCATGGCAGTATTTGTTAACTTGCAACAAGAAAACGTTTATCTTTTTGCTACACTCAAAGCAAGCAGCAAAACTGAAAGTTCCTGTAAGAAGCAGCTGGCAAGTGGCATGCAGTCTAAAGAGGCTTTGGTTTGCTCTATTTGTTCCCATGCCTTTTCTCAGCACAACATTGTCCATATTCCTAATGCTAAAGATTGGTAATAATTATCTACAGCCTGAAGTACAAAAAATGTTTGAAATAATGTACAGCACCTTCAAATTAGTATTTGTTCTTTCCAAACTTTGAACACTTGAGTGTTAAACATGTAGATCGGGACTGGGAGATGTAGAATCACAGAAGAGAAACAAACTCCCTATCTCCCAAATATGTTTAAAACTCCATATTAGTGCTGTAACACTGCTGTATTCTGATGTGTTAGCATAAAATACTGAAGTGTTTTAGTGTTCTGCAGATAGAATTGGGAAATACATCTTTCTGTTCTCTGTGACATAAATAGAAGGGGAAAATACGACTTTGGAACATATATGTAATGTTAATAGTATCCAATATTATGGTTCATTAGAAATGTTAACTTTTCTGTGCAATAAGATAAACTTTCTATTAGATTTATTGTCTATATACACTCTGCAGAATTTGGTGTTCCAAATATACAGCTCTGCTCCTACTAATTCCTAGTGAAATGAGGTAAAACTGTGTAGCTAACCAGTTTGCTATGCAGCATCAGGGCTGCAGGCTGTTTTTCAATCCCATTACTAACAATGAGAAAGAGATTAGGGATTCGGGCAAGAGGAAACTCATAATGCAGCAGTCCATCATTTCTTGTAATCTTGTGGGTGATGGCTGAGAAAAGGCAAATACAGCCAGACATGTAACCCAGCAAGAATAAAGGTCCGGTGTGATCCGCTTGCTGACCAGTGCCAACCAGTGCATGCAGCACAAAGGACAGAGCCAGTATTACTTCCACCAGATGCACCACTGTGCTGTACAACCCCTGGCAAAGGCATGCTTCTGTCATACAACGTGCCACACTGGATTCATGTCTCTTGCAGGACATTACGCGTGGGGTGCTCTGCTCTGCGAGAAAAATCAAGAGGCTTGAACTGACTAATTGGTATAATTCTTCCTCTTATCCACACCATGCTGGGAAGGGTTTAGCAAGAGGTACGTTATCGGTGAAGTGCAGCCGTGGCGCAGTCTTTATTTTCTGCCAGGAGTGTCTTTAAAAGCAGTTACCTCTGGGTTTGGGTTTGGGTTTGGTTTGGTGGGGTGTTTTTTTTACTTCTTGGAACTTTCTATTTATGAGCCAGATAAAGGCTCCAGCAAAGGAGATAGGAATAGAGCTGGTACAGAAAGATACCATGTGTAAGGCCAGGCCAGAGCTGACTTGCCTCCTGGTTAAAATGCACTCTAAAATGAGGTGGTTGCTGTGACAAGTGAGGGGTGTGCAGTACCTCACCTGGCACAGGTTCTAATGAAGGCGTTCTGCACCTTCCTGTGACTGGCTGGAGGACAAATCAGGGACCAGACTTTGAATCCTCTTCTGTTTCCAACATTCATCTCCTAATGCTCAGACTGGAACCAAAACTTTCCACATTTTCATTTCAGATATATTGTAAGGGGTTTATTTTCCTAAGGTTTTTAGATATATTCAGAGTTTTAAAAGAATATTACTGTGAAATTCTGGTACTAGTTAGTATAAATTTATACTGTGAGATGATTTAATATGAATTATCAAGATACTGAATCTAGATTATTTTAATATGAATCTAGATTACATCACAGAGTCTATATTTAATTCAAACTATACTCTAAAGACCTGGACACACTCAATTCTCCTTACTCCTACCTCTAGTCATGGGCTAATTTTGTTATGGATTAGTTCAGAACTTGAAAGATGACTAAGAGATATTCCCTGGCTTTATGTATCTCAGTGCTTCTTCCGGTACAAAATTAACCTGCTGCAGTCTAGTTAGATATTTATGTTGTTCTCACCCCTGAGATCTCCAAAAGCCTCAGATAGCAGTCAGATCAAGGCTGTAGATTTCTCTTTCAAATGAATATAAAAAATACAATTTGTCATTGGAAAAAAAGAAATAAAATCTTTTAAGTGGCTTTTTCTAAAAAAACCCCAAAACCAAACAAGCAAAAACCAACCCCACGAACAAAATCAAAACCAAAAAAAATAAACAGACAAACCAAAGCAAACAATAACCCAGAATTCAACAAAAAAATATCATTTTGGTTAAAAATTCCAGTAACTCAGTATATTATTTATCAGGTAATATCACCTGTCAAGTCTAACCACCGGATAAGTTAATCATCTCCAAATATTTCAGCTTTGCTTTTAACTGCTTAAGTGTAAAATAGGTCATATTATCTTGATGAAAGCATGATTATGAAATGTGTGCTTTCTTTTAATGATCATTATTAACTTACAATGATCTCTGTATCGCTACACTGTATTCACACTGGCAAACCTTCTTTCAGCTATAATTAAGATTATGTCAGCACTGTATTTCATAACTTACATTTGCACTTGTTTATAATCCAACCATAAAGATCCACTTCAGGCAAAATCTTGGCACTGATGGTTTAAATTTGGGAATAAAAAATGTTTATACACATTTAAAAGTTAATTAAAAATGAAAACAAAACTGCACATATTGACAAAGTCTGAAACAGTTCAGTATAATTGAGAAATGTAGCAACCATTTATTAGTGGAGTTTATTTTTGTGTGCATTTCTGCTCCCATAACTAACCATTTAAGGAAAAGATACATTGCAGGCTCATGATGAATACTGGTCTGCTTCCTTTACCCTTACTTCTGGCCACACTGTGGTCCTCTGTTCAGAAAACTAGTCGGATTTTTATTCTGTACTTATTTACAGCATCTCACATTACTCTGCTATAG